AATGTGTTTTTTGAACCTTAAACCGCATAAACACATTTCATTACACCAAATACACAAAATAATGTTCTTTTTAGCAGCATCATATGACCCCTTTAAAGGGCCTCCAAACACACGTTGTGTGGAACTATAAGATGCCTTTTTATCTGCTGCCATATAAAGTTCTGGAGAAAAAAATCCATATAATCAATAAGTTGCATTAGCTGGGTAAAAGGTTTTCTTTAGTCTATGTATGCAAGTATTACATTGTTACAGTTCAGTTTTAGACATGTATTAGCTATATTGCAGTTTCTTATGTAGTTACAGATTGACTGGTTGGCAACTGTTTTATTTTATCAACAAAGTCTTATTTGTTACATGGCGAGTGCTAATTTTGGACTCTGTATCCGAACCTTTTGCTACAGGAGGAGTGCGAGTTAATTCTTTTTTGGTAAGGTTTTGTTCAAATCACCTGCTGTTCACTTCTTTGTTGGCTGCCGTGCTCTCTGGGGTTCAGCAATGATGTGTGTTTGTAATCATACATACTGCACAAAGATGATTGGTATCATTATTTCAAAAGCCTGCAGTTACATGGAACCTGGAGCTTGTTCAACAAGGACTTCCAACCCTTTGGAGATTAGATGTTGGAGAACAAAGGAAAGCATTCAAGACTGTATGCTTCCATTTAAGGACAGGCGTTCTGTGAGCTCTCGGAGTCACAAGTTCTGTTCTCGCTCCATCACTGGAAATTTATTCCTGTGAACCCAGGAGCTTCCCAGATTTGCTGGAAGTGTGTCGGCCCGGTCTGTTCAACAGGGAGGGGTTATGTTTCACTGTGAGTTATGAACTGAGATGGAGCCAAAAAACAGAATTCAAACATTGTGTTGCTGGATTCTTGTACATTGATCAGACATGCTCTGCTCTAGATGCTTTCATTTTCCTTCATGAGTTCTAAACGAATATTCTAAAAGAATATTAATCCAATTCAGTCAGATTTGTCCAACTTGCTTTTTTGCTCTTGCATTTCCTTTGTAAATGCTACATGCTTCCAGCATATGTTTCTGGGGAATATCAGATTTTCAAACTGTGTGTTTCCGGTCTCAGCTGTCAGTGCGTGCAGGGGTTTGAAACATGAGAAGGCATAGCAGCGCATGATGGCCAGGAATATGGAGATGATGTGATCCGGAAATCTGAATTAAAAGCCGAATTTCCTCCTGTCATCTCTTTTAAATCCCTGCCACCTGTGAACACCAGTCACACAAAGAGTCTCACTCTTTGAAAGTATTAAACATTTATCTTTAATTCATCACAGAGTTTTAATGATTCGTTTGGGGT